GGCATTCGGTCTCTAAAAGGTTCACCATCACTGGGTTAGGGTTAGAAAAACGAGGTATCCTGGCATGATTTTGATGGTTGGAATGTGTTTAGAATGGGCAGAAATGATGAGCTGTGCAGAAAAAGCTATTCAAGGAAGGCTTTTGCAAAATCATCGTCTTTTCAATGGCAATTTTGTCCTATATTAGGGTTAGGGGTGTGCACCAGGGTAGTGGCGGTGAACCTATGGTTGCCACAGCACGTACACAGAGCCCTCTCTGTCAACATGCGAGCCAAGTCACTCCAGCAGCCAAGCATCGGATAACAGCGCACATATGGGCCATGCGCATGCTCAGAAAGGAGTAGCAGCATCAGGCGATGAGCCACGACTCATTCGCCATGACTCGTCCGAACTTGCGCACTGCCAATGATATATGTATATTTGCTTGGACTGGCTTTGTGTTGTTTTCTCTAAACTAAAACCTCAGTTTCCAGGTTTTATTGCAGTGTTGGCGCTTTGCGATAAGTGGGTTTTGGGTTGCAGTCTGGGCACTCAGTCTCTAAAAGGTTCACCGTCAGTGACATAGATCAGCGAACATCCCTGCCTCTTCCTCATAGGAAGTAGGAGCACATTCTGGTGCACAATTGTAGTGGTTGCTTCTTTGCAACAGCTGGGCTTTCCTCCAGGGAGGACTGCTGAGAAGGAGCCTTGGAGGCTGCCATGCTTTGGGGGAAGAGGCAGGGTGTTGGAGAGTTGATAACAACATCTTCTCTAGTGTCCATGCTGCCTGGGAGTCTAGGCATCTGTCTTAGGGATGGATCAGAGTGTATCCTGTTCATAATAGTTTTTCAAAGTCATGGCTAACTCCAGCATTGCTGTTTCAGGCAGCCTGCTGAAAAACAACAGTGGACATCTGCAGTAAAGACACCCTGCAGGACGGGAGTGGAGAGCAGTCCACTGGAGAGAGGCAGATGCTAATGTGTCTCTTGTTAGGAGGAGTCCAATGCTAGAGCCTGGACAGCTGGAGTAGGTTCTGTAGTAGCTGCTCTTTCCAGGCAACTCTGTGTTAATTGTATTTCCAGACTATGGAAACAACAATCCTGGGTTCAGACATCACAAGCAACCCTTGTAGTACAAAGAAACCATAGAAGAAACCATTATTTTTATCATGTTTTCTAAAGACCAAGGTATTATGGTGAAATACAATGGCCAGGTTTAGATGACATGACAAACCATGGTGAAAAATACTACTGTGGCTTGTGGTGTCATGCAAACCCATGTGTCTCCTTTTTATCACTCCTCTGTTTTCTTTCTGTTTAGCTTTAAGTTTTTAGAATTCTCTTTATTCTTGCACTCACACAAAATAAACTAATCTTAGCAAAGTGTTTGGCAGGCTTTTTACATTTCTTTTTACTCAGTATGTAAATAGATTTGAGAATTCATTCATTCAACTTTAAAGCATATTCTTCTGTATTTTTCCTGTGATTGTATAATTGTAAACTTGGATTTTTGTTTATAACTTTTAACATGCACAATTTCTGTGATCTTTATTTGTTTATTGCTGTAAATGTTCTTATTTTGAAAACAGTTGTGCAATCCATTATGTACTTTCTATCTCAGCATTCTTCCAGTCATTTGTACTATTTGCATGTACCATTTTCTTAGTAGAAGTCTCTAACAAACATAATCTGAATATAAATTCATTGCCTGATGTTAAATCTACTTTTAGAATTAGTTATTCTGATTATATTAAAGTCCATCTAATTCATAATTTGATCCAAAATACTGAATTCTGTCAAGGCGTCTTTTGGCAGTAAGAGACAACTGTTCTGTATGTAGTAATATAAAGAATGTAACTTACACACATAAACTTGTAGAATAAATATTTTTCTTTCCTGCTGCAGCAGTTGAACTAGATGAATGTTGACCCCCCCTCCAATTTTAATACTCAAATTAGTTACTGTAACTCTTCTCTGTTCTTAATATTTGGTAAATTGTTACTTGTCTAAACAGTACATAGACATGTATCATGGGTAGGGGAAGTACAATCTTTCCTTAGTATTTAATGTAATAAGTCCTATTAAGTTCAGCAGGACTTACTCCATGGCATGTGTACATCAGATTGCCACATTGGTTCTGGGCACTTGTTTGAAAGTAATAGGTGATAATCTGCAACATAAATAGTGAACCATGGAATACATTGGTACTGGAATTGTTTCCAATTTGAATTGGGTTTGATATTGACATGCTTAGTGGCTGCAACAGGTAATATTCAGCCATAGTTAAGTGGACAGGGGAGGGCATTGGAAACCCCCACTGGGGAAGAGAAAAGCTGGTGGGAAAGAATATTCTATGTAGTCTAATCTCTTCACTGTAGTTAAGTGCTGTTTGTTTATTGTGTCTGCGAGGCAATTAGTTGTAGATTTGGGGTCAGGAGAATACAATGCTACAAAGAATTCAATTGAAAAATAGTGTTTGGAAGGGATGTTTTCAAAGGCAGAGGAATGCAACAAAAATAAATTTTACAGCATTGGGATCCTCCCTAAAAAAAAAAAAAAAGTAAAAATATATATTTTTTAAAAATCCCCCCCGCAATTCAGAATGCAAGTTAAGGCTTAAAAATTAATGGACTTAAGTATCCCTGCATTCAATTGCAATGTACAACTGTAGCTGTAGTGAACATAATTTTCTTTTATAATCACTTTGTCTAGTGGATCAACAAACAACTATGTCAACAAAAAGTCTATTTTGGTCAATAATCACTCCCTCTGTCTAGAAATAAATTATGTACTCTTTACAGTTATCCTCTAACTGAAATTTTCAGATATGAAAAACTGTTACTTTTCCCCATCTTGCACAGCAAGAATTGTAGCAGTTCTTGTATGTCATCTCACTCCAATTCTACAGCTTACTCCTTTTTCCCAAGTTACTTAAATTATGGGAGCAGAACTGTAAACAGTCACCCCCAAACAAAATCCTTCAAATAAAACTATTCTTTTCTTTTTTTGCCTGCCATTCAAATTCATATCTCTTCAAACTCCTTCACCATCACACCTTTTCCAGGTGATGGGTTCCTAGCAGGAAGAGAAAGTTCAGCAGCAAGTGAAAATATTTTCCCTCTCCAACATTCCTGGTACCCCTTTCAGGGTCCTCTCAGTGACTTCTGAAGAAGTCACCTTCCATGGAGTGAAGGAGTAGGGTGGTTTGGTTACTGATGAAGAACAGGTCTCATCTACTCCAACTGCGTGTTTGGTTTCCCTACCTCCTTTCCAGGTGTGAACAGTCCAGGATGGAGATGGAAGAGCAATTAAGCTCCTATGATTTCCTTTTCACCTTCCTACTTACTTACTATGCTCAAAAGCAGATGGTGGCAGTCATCTCCCTAAACCCACTTTACCTTTGCCCTTTTTACACAAGTTAATGTTGATAGGAGAGGGTGTGGAGGAAAGCAATAGAGGAGCAGTCAATATTTGTGCCATGCAAGGGCAGCCTGCTGCATAAAGCCTTCAGCAGAGATTAAGTTGGGAACCAAAGGCCTTTCAAAGAGGACACAGGAACAAAGTTTAATCATCCCTTGACTACAGCCATGTATATATAAAGTAATATGAATTATAGGAGTGTTTACTTACAGAAGGCAACCCATAGCAACTGTTGGTCAAGGTGAACAGTAACTGAAATGTGCATTTTCAGATAGGGTAATGCACTTGCATGTATACATGTCTGCACATGCACATGTATACACACATGCACAGGCTTGTAGCTAGGGACCTATAGTATAGTGCAGCATTACAATTTAAGGATCAGTTTGTAATAAAGTCTTTTTAGCGAGATATGACCGTTTTGATGAAGACTGGGTTTTTTGGTATAGAGTAGATTGTGCTCACTGAGAAAGAGTTTAAATTTTCCTTTCTCCAGCTTAAATTCAGAATATATTTTTGATTGCTGCTTGGAATACAATTGTGGTTTCTCTCCCCTTCACTCTGCCTCTATTTGAGTTAATTTAAAAAGTAGAAGTTGAAAGCAAACAGGTTGATGGTCATCTTTTCAAAATTATTTGTGGGATCACTGATAACCAATCTGACTTGAAACTTATTATATGTTATTGGCTGCATTTGGATAGAACAGTAAACAATATTTTAGTGTTATCAGAACGAACTTGTCCAAGCATTGGGTTTTCATGCTTCTTCTCTCCTTTTTTCTTCCAATGTGAAAGGGGAAAATCAGAAGCCTCAATTTTATTTTTTTAAACACCATTTATGGTGGAACTTTAAACTATGGTTAATCTTAACCATGATTTACCAATATAAGCTAATCTCTTATACCATGTTTTAATGTGACTTATTGAAGAATCATAAGTACATCTAGCCACAATTTGTCTAGGTTTAAGACATTATGACAGCCACAGTTAGAATTTGTGGGAGAAGTAGGCTCTCATTTCCTGCAGAACTTTGGAGAAGACAAGGAGTGACACAAGACCCTCTCTCATCTTCTCCCTTCCCATGACAGATTACAGGCAACTGGGAAGGGAGATATAGGTAATACAGGCTCCTAAGAATAAAAGAGCCATGCTCAATCCAATCAAAGTGCATTTAGGCTGGTATTCTGCTCACATAGCAGCAAAGCAACTGTTTCTTGTTCCTCTGAAGCCCTGGAGGAGGTTGGACAAGACCCTGCTCCTTTCCTGAGCATGATGGAATATTAAGGAAGAGGGAAGGGGCTGGGAGTTACCCCAAATAATAAATGTCCAGTACGTGAGCAAATTTTGGTATTACACAAAATTATGCTTTTGGAAGAACTAGCCAGCGTTAAAAGTAAACAGTGTTACCTCCTTTATTAACTCTACTAATTCATGTGAATGTTACACTAAATAAAATCCTCATTGCTTCTTAAACATCATAAACACTCAATTAACATTATTGCAGCAATTCATGCTAACTTATATTTAAATAGCAAAAAAATCAGTTTGCTGTTGAAGATTAATCTGATGTTGCATTTTATTTGCTTTCATGCTTTTTTTGTAGAAATATAAAGAAAAAGATAAACATAAACAAAAACACAAGAAGCAATCAGATTCCTCACCTTCTTTGGTTCCTTCTCTCACTGTAACAACAGAGAAAGTAAGTGAGGTTTTCATACATCTTATGTTGGAATGACATTTGTATTCTTGGCATTTGTTTTATGGAGTGAGGATTTATGTTGTTGCCTAATTGCAGAGAAGCTCTATTCATGATTAATAGTACATTTGCAGTCTTAGTCATCTGTGTTATAATAAATGGTACTCAATGAGTTACAAAATTAGGATAGAATACTATATTTGTACTTTACCTGTGTACAAAATGACTCTGTAGCATACTGCAATAAAAATATCAAAGTAGTAATAATAACATAAATAATAACAATTTAGCAATATAATAAATATAAATTTATAAACAAATGTAAGAACAACCCCCCCCCCCGCACAAATAATTAAAAAATAGGATCCGATTCTTGTATGTAGACAAAGGCTAAACTATCATTTCCCAGTTAGTATTCCTGTTCAAATAGCATGGAAAGCTCTGGTTTAGCAACCCTGGATTACCCTCTTTATATCTTCTTTAAGTTATTACTTTATATTTACACACACACACAACCCCCTGTTTAATATGCAGTTTTAAATTTTATAAACTTTTAGTGATGTTTTAATATGTTTTTAATACAATACATTTTATTGCTTTTTAATGTGCTTTGTAAACAGCCCAGATAGCTTCACTTGTTGGGGGATATAGAAATAAAATAAAATAATAAATAATAATATAATGCAAGAGAAGTAGAGGGGATAAGGGAATGCAAAGGCAGAAGAGTGCTCTTTCTTGGGCCAAAAAGCCATGGCTTCTTGGACTGGGATCATTGTGCATTTATCAAGCACCTGATATCTAAGAAGCAATATAAGCTCAACAAACATTTTATCCACTGGGGCCAGTGTTACATTTTTGATGAGCTTTCACTTTTATTTGCTACAACAAATATGTAATTTTATTGTTTCCATAAACTAGTGAGCTTTATGCAGATAATAAATCCCCAAAATTTTTCTAAATGGAAATTTTAGCCAAAGAATCTGTAGCATTTAAGCATGCTGCTCTATGCTAACATTTGTTCATTTGTCCCATCTATAAATTGTAATTTTGCATTTTATTGACTTGTATGCGTATGGAAATAATTTCAATAAATTATGGGTACTTCCAGGCAGAGGGCTGTTAGTGCTACTAATCAAAAGCACCATGTAGCTATTCCATCTTCTTCTTCATAACAGACTTTTTGTGGTAAGAGAGAAGATGGAAGAAGGGGTAGAAAAACATAGGAGGCTTCAAGTGGGAGACATTATCCATATCTCCCCATAAAAATCTTGAATCAGGTAGGTGGAAAAAAGCCTCTCCTGGAAGCACCCTATATAAAAACAGTCATGTTATATTTCCCTAGCACAGTCTTTTCAATTTGAAAGAAAACACCTTCAAACAGCTACAGGTGTGCTCTGACTTGAGGCTCTTTTATGTAGCTTGAACACTTCTGTAAATTATCTTAACTATCTTTTTTATTTGAGGAAATGCTTTTAGACCAATAGTGACACTATTTTCAAGGTTATGATATGTTGTTGAAAGAATCTGTTGGCAGAAGTATAATAAATAGCTGCATATACATGTTTCCTACTCTAATAATTTCTAAAAGTCAAGGTCAGGGTTTCTTTTGAGTTGATGTAAAGAAATTAATTAAAAGCATTTGGCATGTAAACATTTTCCTGTTTTTCATACACATTTTTCATCAACCTTGTCTTTAATGCAGACACCTGACTATATTAGTCATATTATCTTAATGGTTTTATCCTTTAAACATAGGCTATACCAGCCTTCATTATGTCATGGCATTATTATTTTCTGAACTGAAATAAAATATTTTATAATATATGTAGATGAGATTCCAGTGTTCAAATGCAGATGTACTTGTATGTTCATATATATTCTGTATTTCCTACCCTTTGACTAATAAGTTTCTAGACAAGTGATTGCTAGTTCAGAGGCTCTCAAAATGTCCACTGTTCTACAGGTACCTAGATAATGGTTTCATTTTCTTTATGTAAAGATATAGTTGATGGTTTTAAATTTTCAGTGTTTTATCATTAATATATAGTGCAATGACTGCAGCAGCTACAACTTCAAACAGCGTTTGGTATTTGGTACTTGACACTACAGGTAGCAAAATGAATAAATAACAAGTTTCATATATGGTGGATGCTTAGTTTATGATACAGATCATGAAAGTGATAATTAGTAGCACAGTAAGAAAAGCAAACTGCTGCTAGAACAAGCATACAGAAAGGAAAAAAAATACCAAGGGATAGTCAGCACAAATCTCAGAATATGTTTGGTACAGACTTTTATCAGGGACATGAAGTTTTAGTCAGTCATCCTCCATGTTTGAAATGCTAAATTTGAGTTTGTCACATTTAGTCTATATGCATATTGCCATAATAGATTTGAGTTTTTAACCAAGATAAAATAGAAGGTAGTTTATAACAAAACATGGCTGTTCCGTTATACGACAGCCTACAACAAAAATATAGTATTTTATTTATTTTATGAATTTTTGTACTGGATTTGGACCAGTTGATTTCCAGGCAGTTAACAAAACCTGAATAAAACAGAAATGAAAGTAATACAAATAGGTAAAAGCAGCAAATTAAAATAATTAGAGCTGAGAGCTTAAAAGACTGGCTCTAAAAATTTTGCAAAGGAGGTACCAGGCAAGCCTCCCTCTTCCAAAAGTGGGGTACCATCACTGAAAAGACCCTCTGAAAAGACCCTTTTCATCTTTAATGGCACAGCACCTGGAAGACAATGATGTGGGAACATGAATTCATCCTAACCAGTGTAAAAGAATTGACTAATAAAAGCAATATATATTTTAAAAACCAACATTAAATCAGCACAAACAACTCTCAGTAAGAGTTAGAGGTAAAAACACCACCATCTAATAGGTTTTCTTCAAGGGCATAAAAACACTTGGTGAAGTGGTCTAATGGACATGGTGGGAACAAGTGAAAAATTGTTCCTCCTTATATTTGCCATTCTACTTTTTAATTACAGAAGCATTTGGAGCAAAAATTCAGAAGATGATATAAACATGTGGCAATAGGGGTTCATATGGGAGAAGGCACTCCCTGATACAATAAGGCTATGGATATTTAGGGCTGTAGAAGTTAAGGCCAGCATGCTGAATTGTGCTTCGAACCTGACAACTAGTAAAATTATTTTTAATGCTAATGTAATATGCACTAGAGGCTAGTTCTGACCAGAGGCTGAGCTGTTGCATTTTGAAATGGTTTTCACTCCCAAACAATATTCAAGTGTAATCCCATGTAAATACACTACAATAGCGTAGTCTTTGAACTCACAACAGTATAATAAAGGACAGATAATGAGAGGGCACAGCTTAGCAAAGCAGCTGAAGGAGAAAAGAAGCAGCCCTGGCTACAGATTTTGATGATTCAAAATAGTTTACTCTTTTCTAATATTGTGTTGTTAGAAATTGTGCAATGCCACTTTGCTTTTTTAGTTTATCAAGTTACTTTATAGATGTTACTTGATATTCTAGTGCCTCAGCTTTAGAGTGGAGTATGTAGAATTTCCTAAAGATCAACAATATTGAATGTATTTTTGGCAAATATGTATTTTATGTAAACAGCCTTCAGGAAAAGGTTTCCTTTTCCTATTTTCCCTCAAGTGATACACAGGTGAAAAAATGCCATTGTACCTTTTCATGAGCCATGACCCATACTAGGTCATTCATATTAGAGGTAAATTTGATTAAGAGCTTTAGCACCCAATCAACCCAGTAGGAAAATGTTTCAAAAATGTGCTATCTAGGTTTTTAAATAACCTGTTGAGCATGGATAAGGACTGTGTTCCTAACATATACAAAAAATAATAAATTTTAATTATACTGGTTCTGTTCTATTAAGATTTTTCACTTCTGCATTAACCCTTGGAGTCAGCTGGATTTTTATTGTGTTTGTCAATGTATAAGTTGTCAAATTGGCACTACTCATACACTAGAAGAAAACTGAGGTTTGGAGACATCAAATTAAAAAAGAAAAGAAAAAGGTGAATACCTCCCCTGAAAGAGGAAATCAGAATGCATTTGTATGTGAAAAGCCATTCTTCATCTTGAGTATAGGAGGGGAGAGAAGCAGAAGCACATACAATTATGCCAGGCTCCCTCTATGCCCTCCAGTGCTCACAAGAAAATCCCTTTGTCCTCTTTACCACTGTCTGTGTTTCTTGGAGGTGCAGTCTTACTATAAGCCAGTGTGGTGTACTAATTAGGAGTTAAGAGATCTGAATTTTAGTCCCCCACTGGGGGACTTTGGGCCAGTCACAGACATGCAGCCCAACCTACCTAACAGGGTTGTTGTGAGGATAGGATTGAGGAGGAGGAGGAGGAGGAGAATTATGTAAGCTGCCTTGAGTTTTTTGGAAGGAAAAAGGCAGGATATAAATATAAAAAGAACTTGTGAGGGGGATGGAGCTCTGCCATTTTAAATGGGGATCTCTCTGGGGGGTTGTGCATAATTTTGTGTTAGCTGCAGAAGCATTTACTTTGGAGGATAATAGTTCTAATACTAGAAAAAACAGTTCTAATACTAGAAAAATCAAGGAAATATTGGTAAAAGTGCTAATAGTATTCTGATGGCATGTTAAAGAGTATTTGACAGTGTCTACAAATTCATTGCTTCAACAGGCCATGCAAGATATATCTAAATTATTTTCTATTTAAATTATTTTCTGTATGTCATCTATATTGAAAAAACAGACATATGTGGGACATACATAAGAGACATTGTGACTTTATAGTAAAATCCATGCTTGGCATGTGAGAGGTACCAGATTTGATTCCTGGCATCTTGAGGTAGGGCTGGAAAAGACCTACCTGTTACCTTAGAGAGTGCTGACAAACCCCCTAGCTCTGACAATACTGAGCTAGATGGACCATTTGTCTGATTTGGTATAAGGCAGCTTCCCATGTTCTTGCTTCCTCCTCCAGTTAATTTATGATGTTCAGTTATTAATTTTTACTATCAAATAATGATACAGTAAGAGTACAATTCTGTGCATGTTTAGACAGAAAAAGCCCTATAATCCCTAGCATGCCTCAGCCAGCATGCCAGTGAGAGATGCCAGAAAATTGTGTCCTGAAGATTGCATACATGTGCTTACTGATGTGTGAAAATACTGATACAAAATATGTTTATATTTACTTACATTTTCTTATTTACTCCAGAGGGAGAATTAAAAATTACAGTTTTAAATAATTAAAATGCCCTTTTTATTTTAGTTATTTGAACTATTTTGTATATACTTATATTAGCAGATAAAAAGTAATCAGTTATAAACCTAGTATGTTAACCTGTAACATTTCAAAGGCATACACTTCAGCAGGAACTGGTGTTTGGGAATGTTGCTGGCGGACAACATAAGGATTTATTACATAGAAGTTCCTTGATTAAAATGAAGCTTTTGTCAAGTGGCTGCACTTCCGCTAATTGTTGCAACCTGATGCCTGCAAAACTGACAGCTGGCAACTTGGTCATCATTAGTAAAAGTATTTTGTTCTTTATGCTTACTTATTAGTTGAAATTTTAAATCTACATTTAAAGTGTTTCATTTCTTTTAACTTATTACGAATATAAATTTAGGCTTGACTTTTCCTACCTGTTTTTAAAATGTTAGGACTTCTGTGTTTCTGAATTGCATTAGTGTTGTCCTCTTTCAGAGTACAGTTATTTTGTGGTCTAACTGTCTTTCTCTACTTCCTCTTTCTCACTTCAATACTGTTAGACTTACACAAGCACTACCAGCAACTCTATGACAGGCTCATTGAAAAGGCTGGAGGACACTGCTGCTCGCTTTACAAATGCAAATTTCCAGGAAGTCTCTGCACATGCTTCAAGTGGCAAAGATATTTCAGAGGCCAGAGGTTCAGAGAGCAAAGGGAAGAAGTCGGCAGGTCATAATTCAGGTCAGAGGGGAAGAAAGGCAGGATCTGGAAGGACTCCTGGAGCTACAGTGTCAGCAGCTTGTACTTTTCAACAAGGTATTATCCAAGAATACTATATTACTTCCATGTTTGCGAACTGTTAAATAGGTTAAATCTGTGTATATTTAAATGCAATATATTCTGCATATATTGTATTTGAATGAATAGTATTGTATTTTTATTGAAAGAAAATGTTTGGAGACAGTAGTACATTAGTGAAACTCATGTTTGCTTTATTTTTGGACAAATACATAAAATGGAAGAATTACTTGTATGTATAGTTACTGTGATCAAAAAAGTGTCCAGCAGAAAAATTGAATTCTTCTGCTTTCCAGGAATGTTTTTATAGTTGTAAAATGTAAACATCTTAATTTATAAATAGAATTTTTTGATCAGATGAACCTTGCTTTCATTTGAATGATTCTTTTAATTTTGAGTAAACTGCCCCTATTATTTCACTTAATAACAGAAAATCTGCCATCAGTGGAAGACTGAATACTGAAATATTATTCTTAAACTTATGTTTTATCTCTAATATAATGCACAATGGTCTGTTCACTCATTTCCAGTCTACAAACCATGGAGGCGTGAACTTATTCTTCCCCTCTTGTACATTGAAAACCCCATCTATTTCTTAATTTTCTGATGCAACAAGGATCTATAAAAGCCACTCAAAGCTACATGCCTGCAAACTTTTCACTGGCCTGTTGAAAACTAGCAGAAAAGGGACAAAGAGCTGAGTTTCTATGCTGGGAATAGAGGAAGGATGGAGCAAGCCATTTCTCATACACCAATCCACTGAGCTGCCTGTATGGCATTCAGTGCGCTTACTGGCAAGCAATTTCTGCTTGCCTGTAATGGCAAAACAAGTATTTAAATATAATGTAGTAACTTCCAAACCACCGCTTTCAAACCATATTTCAAAGAATAGTTTGTAACATATCACTGGTTGTCAAACAGAAGAGGATTGGAGGAGCTAGGCATCTTTGATTCTCCAAATCATGGTTTGGAGAGCCATCTGAACTAGTATTTTATTTATTTGTTATATTTCTATCCCACCCTTTTCCCTTAAGGAATTCAAGTTGGTTACATAGTACCCCTCCTCCTCTCAAATGTATCCTCACAACAACCTTGTGAAGTAGGCTAGGCTGGGAGTCAGTGACTGGCCCAAAATCATTCAGTTAGCTTCATAACTTAATGGGGACTAGAACCCAGCTTTCTCAGTTCCTAGTCCAACACTCTAACCACTACAGTACACTGACTTTCTGAACTAAAACAAAAATATCAGTTCTGTGTAGCGGAATAATATTATTTCATCAGTTGTCATTACGATAGCCACTAATTCTAAAACAGGCTTCCTTAATCAAAAGACTTTCTCATATTTTCTGACTGTTAAGTGCAAATACTCTATGGCAAACTATATATTTAGCAAGTTAAGTTGTGAAGCTGGCAATAACTCCTACTGAGCTAAATTGGAATTACTTTTGGGTAGACATACATTGGATTGTACTGAGTGTATTTGATATAAAATAGCAAATGTTTTGTATAAGTAAAGCTATAAAGTGGTAATACATAATTTTATAAATGCAGTGTGAATATCTTTTTCCTTTATGTATTTTGTGTAACATTTCCTCTTGACATATAGAAAAGGGCTGGGATGCAGATAGACAAAGTTTAAATAAGAAAAAGTTAGACATATAAGACAACTGTCCCAGTCCTTTCCCTCTCTGTAGTGGCCTATTTTTAATTCTGTTGGATGTGATGCTATATTTTGGAATGGTACTTGGAAGACCCTTTATTATATTGATTAGCAGTTATTTGTACTGCCAGGTTTCTTTTGAGTATGGGGTAGAAGCCTATGTCAAGCCTTTGTATGGTCTACTGACAGGCTTAGCCACACCTACTTTCCTTACTACATATCTCAAGCTACCTGGGAACCAGTGTGGTGCAGTGGTTAAGAGCATGGGCCTGGGACTCAGGCAATGTGGGTTCTAGTCCCAGCTCAGCCATGGAGACAACTGGGTGCCTTTCGGTCAGTTACACACTCTCAGCCTAACCTACCTCACAGGTTTGTTGCTGTGGGGATAAGATTGAGAATAATATAAGAAGAATGAAATAAGGTACTTTGAGGTCACTGGGAAAAAGTGGGCTATAAATCTAATAATAGATAAATACACAAAACAGCTGTGTTGGTAGGAAAAGAACAGGAAACAGAGGTTTTTTTGTTTCCCTAATGAACCCCAGCATTAAAAAAAACTTTCTGGGTAAGGGGGAAAATATCTCAGTAAGGAATGGGTCCTTTTTTCTTACTGATGCATCCTGGTCTTGGCGGTTCTTTCTACAACCTTCCCTAGAGGGTAGGAAAGGACTAACACTCATGGGAAGAGTGTGTCTCTCTAGCCACTGGTGGACTTATTTCAAGCTGTTTCGAGAAGCTTAAAGGGGAAGAAAGTGTTTGGCAGTTGTGAAGTTGGATGGCTCCCTTTAGGGGCCTTGATTTAGAAGTTCACTTCTGGACTGTTAGTTGGCATTTTCTACTCTAATAGCATGGCTTTGTTTGTTATATTTGTCATTTATATATTACTCCATAACTGAAAGTTTCTGGGCAGTGTACAACAATCCATAAAAACATTAAAATACAATACAAATACCATAAAAACCAAGGCCGCATTAAAAAAATTAAAACAGCTAAAACATACAGTAAAAATTATTATCTTATATATGTTATATTTTCTGTCACTGTACATGTATATCTGTAATTCTGTGAAGCAGAGTATAAAATGATTACCAAGAAATGAAGTTTACACTGACTTTAAGTAAATCTGAAATCTTGCCTCTTTTTTAAATTTTATTTGTAAGCCTCATTCCCGAGACCATTTGAAACACAGACAAAGCATTTAAAAACAGGTTCATGGGGGTATTGTAGGAAAATCCTTATTCCTTTAGAAGGATTTATGATGAATTTTAGTTCATTTTAGGATTTGTTCATTGAAGTAGTTTAAGTGAAACTGGTAGGGCTACTAATTAAAAGGAAAATAGCTCTGTTGGCATTAAATTTTTTGGAAAATGTTTATTTCATATACATTTGCTTTGTGGGGTAGTATTCTGCTTATGTTTGGGTCCTTATCTTTTCACCATCTAAAAAGGGCAGGGCCAAACAAAGTTAGGTTTTACTGCTGGATCTCACTTTCCTAGAGTTATCCTGACCCCTTTTGTATAAATTCTGTCCCTGAGCAGTGATACTGTGAGATTGTAACTTTGGAGAATTTTAATTGGCACAATATCCTAAAACATTTCTTATAGTGCCATCAGTATAATGACACAGAGTGCTAAGAACATCTACTTAGCTAACCCATGGAAATCCATCAAATTGTTTCTTTACTCTTCTGAGCAAGAAAAATATAAAAGAAATGAAGTCAGAGTATTTCCAAGAAAGAGGCAGTGTCCCCCATATGTCATCCACCTTTCTTATAGATGGTGCAAAGATCAAAACTCATGTTCAGAATGACAGCAAAACATGATTTTTACAGTATTCTATTTTGACATTGCTAATAGATTACAAAATATTATTTTAAACCACCAAACCCTACTTTTCCTCATTTCTCTAGGCAGTTTTTTGGGAACACCCAGCAGCACAAAGTCATCATCTGGAAGTTCAGTTCAATCTCCCCAGGACTTTCTGAGTTTTACAGACTCAGATCTACGTAATGACAGCTATACTCATTCCCAGCAGACATTGTCAACCAAAGATGTACATAAAGGAGAGATTGGAAGCCAGGATGGGGGTACAAATTGTTTTACTTCCTTAATTGGTCTCCCTTCAACTTCAACTGTTGCCTCCCAGCCTAATATTTTTGACAGCTCACCTGGAGAGTTGGGTAATTCAAGCCTTGCATCAACAGGATACAAGCGTGTTCAATCCTCTGCTACAGAAGATGAGACTGTAAAGGAAAAGAAACGGAAAGGAAATAAGCAGTGTAAACATGGGCCTGGTAGACCCAAAGGAAATAAAAGTCAAGAGAATATTTCCCACTTATCGGTCTGTTCTGCTTCCCCAACATCATCTGTGGCATCTGCTGCTGGCAGCATAACAAGCTCTAATTTGCAGAAATCTCCAACATTGCTTAGGAATGGAAGTTTACAAAGTCTCAGTGTTGGTTCATCTCCTGTTGGCTCAGGTAAGCATTTATCCTATTTTAGAAAGCACTTTTGAATATAGCTTCACTTAATTCAAACAATAACAGTTTGAATTGAGTTCTTGCTGATTGCTTATTTAGTCATAGTTAATGACTGGGTTTACATAACATGAAAACCCAACAATGGCAGCTAGCTGTAATGGGTTTCCAGGTCATGCAAACCAAGACCAATTTCCATAAGGTGATTTAATTTTAGGGAACAAGTCACCCTGACAACCTATGGCTTGTTCTAGTGGATATCATACCCATGATGGGTTGCCACATTTTCTAAACCTGGGAGAGCAATTTTATTGTGGGTTTCTGGTTATCAAATGCAGGGCTGCTAGACATGAGTAGCAAAGCCACCGTTTGTGATTTCGCCCATGCCCCCTCCAGCCTCTCTTGCCAGTGACTATCTTTCTGTCATTCCAAAATGGCATTTTGGAGGGACCATCACTTGTTTTCTACTATCACTCTTCCTCTGGCCCCAGATAATTGCACAAATGTCTTTGTTCTTCTTCTTCCATCATCTGTCACAAGTATGTGTGAGAGTGTATTCTTGCTTTGTCGATATTCTTCTAAGCTTCAGCTGTCAAAGGTAGCCAAGTGCAGTGGGTAACATACAAGGAAAATGACATGGCAAGACTGCATCAGGGAACGTATGCACGTGTTTGCCAAGGACATGGGGGTGAGGTGGGAAAGCAATATTAAGGGAGAAGGAAAAGGTGAAAATGTAGGAGAAATAGGTATGCCCAAATGGGCAGGGGAACAATATCTTTCACTTAGCATGGTAATCCTCTCACTTTTAACCAGTGTTGAATGGTCAGTTCAGTCAGTTCTCACTGCTCATTCACAAAGAGAAAATAACGGCTCCCTCCCTACATATATTGGGCAACTGGAACTGTGCACTTGCAAAAGAGAGATAATTTATGTACAATATTGCAAGCTATTTGCACACTTTTCCTGGGGCTAAAAAAACAACAGAAAAGAAAATGCAACTCTATTTGCGTACTCCCAAGCACACTGCAACTTGGGCTGCAGAACTAGGGGAGGAGGAGGGCATGAAGAAACCATGTAAGCTCACTTATCTGTGAGGAGTATCACAACTTATACTGTGCAACTTAGTTGCAGGGTGGCTTTTTGACATTGGCTTTGACGTTCTAGCTATCTTGGAAGTACAAAAACTACAGTTTTGTAAATAATGTATCAATTAAATGAAAAGGTTGCTTAGTTGTCTTTTGTATCTTTCCAGTGCAATCTTTAATTTTACTTTAGGAACTTTTGTTTATTTAAAACATGCAGATTGCTGAAGAGGGAGGAGCGATTCATACTTTCCACAAGTGATTGCCTAGTTAAATACTCTGTCAGATCAAAATTCCAAGTCAGTCAAATTTTGCAGAACAAGTACCATAGATATAAATCATACAAATTATCTATGTTCTACAACTGTTAGGTATTAGATCAACCTGAGATGTTAATGTAACTATGTTGTTTTCTCTAAATACTCTTAAATGTATCATGGGCTTAACGATTGTTGAGATGATATTGATAGAATCATTGCCGGTTGGAAGTCATAATAAATTAAATTGGTCAGCACAGTCTCCTTTCAGCATTACTAGAAGGGGTAAAACTTACTTCAGTACTAAGCTTAGATGCTTTGTATAAATTGCAAAACATTCCAAATAGAGCAGGAAGGGCCTTTAGTACAGCATAAGCAGAAGAGGGCATGCTTTTTATGTTGAATGTTCAAATCTTTTTCACATCTTATACAGTGGTACCTTGGCTCATGAAAATCTGTTCCACGACTCTGGTTGCGACCCAGATTGGTCATGACCTGTCAAATTTCCCCATAAGGTTAATCCATTCTATAACCATTTTTTTAATCACAAAAATTTGAAACAAAGTGACAAAGAACAACAGAGATCGTGGCCACCCCCCCCCCCCCAGCACAACCGCGATCATGCCCGTCTTCCCTGCACCAGTGCAACTGCGATCATGGCCATCTCCCCCACCCTGAGCATGATCACAGCCATCTTGCACCCCCACCCCCCAGCATGAGGGCGATTGCCCCCATGCAGGGAAGATGGGTGTGATTGTAATCATCACCTGAGGCAGAGTTCGCGTCCTGAGGCAATTTTTTCCTGAAATTTCTATTCGCAACCTGATTTGGTCATGAACTGAAGCGTTCATGAGCCGAGGTACCACTGTACATTTGAATCTGCATCAGGTGCAATGCCAAACCATGGTTCAGCACTGTGAGAATAATTCCTATATTTCCTACCTTCTTTATACACTCTGGTTCACCTAGATCCTTCATTTTAGTACAATCTATAGCTTTAAACTACCTTGAAACCATGATTTGCAGTTTGAGCTAGGAGAGCAAGACAAATCAAAGTCCACTGCTTTGGCTACTAACTGTGGTTTGCCATAAAATATACTGTGTGACCTTGGGCTAGTCAATGTCTCAGCCTAACTCAGGAGTAACATGGGGCAACATATCACTTAGCACTACAATGGCAAGAATAAATTAAACACTTTTAACACTACTGAGAGTTAGGGAATAGTTTGCCATCAAATAATTGTCCGTCTTTCTGTCTTCAAGTAAGGAAGAAATTGCCCCCAGTCCTTCAGTTGTCCACCCTTAGCTTAAACTATCTCCCAGTTTTGTTACAGGACTAAAAGGGTGTGGGAGAGAGACAGCTATATACACTGCCTTGAGCTTGAAAGAAAGGCCTGATAAATGTCAAATAAATAACATAAGTTGTTGGAAACTAACTGAAATAGAATATGTGAGGAGAGGGAAAGTAGCATGCAAGCACAAAATTTGTTTCTATAGTTTTGCCTATAATGCCAGGCAATAGTTTGGCATTGTGTCTGAACTGAACCTTGGAGTTTTTAAATTACATAGCTAATATTTGCTAAACCTTCACAGCCTTGACAGCATAGAAACATTAATTTTAAAGGTGGAATAAATCAGATCAATATGTGGAATAGTTTTCAGTTTAACTGCGTACAGTAACCAATGGAATAATTGCAATAGGCAAAACTGGTCTTATGTATTATGATGAAAACTTGACATGAGAGTAATCAAAAGTTACACATTCTTAAGGATGCCGTGTAAATTGCCTTTTACTTAAAAGCCCTGCATATTTTGTAAATTTGTAATGAACTTCAAGAGTTTGGTTTTAAAATTATTATTAAACCTCTGTGGCAATGCTGGGATATTGTTGTCTTCTCACAGTTTTATTGGTCCTGTCTCATAGCTCACACACAGAGCATCTCAGTTTCCTTTGTATTATTTCATGCTACATGTATGTGGTTAATTTTCAAATCCCTGTGCAATTGACCAGCTGGTCTATGTGGGGGTATAACATTTTCTCCCTTGCACGCACTCACACAGGCTGCATTCATGATAATAGCATTTCAAGAACAAGTTGCACAATTGCAAGAAAAAGTTTGGAAATGTCTACTTACATTTCGGAAAAGCTATAATTTAATGTTACATTTGCACCCAGGTATATTATGCTAAAATTAAGCACAGTATGGCTGGGATTGCGTAGTACAACAAGCTGCAACAAATTAAAGCTGAAGCACAGGTTTCTGATTTCTTCCATGTGGCTGTGCCAAAGAAGATGTGGGAGTGTGCAAGCCCAACATTAAAACACAGTGTACTGTTTTAAGTGAATAAGGTTACTGTAAAGGGATCAGACTAAGAACAAGTAGCTCTCATGCCACTATGTGTATGAAGAATGGGATCAGAGCAAAACTGAAAACTGTAGAGGCAGGTGGTGACAGTTGAGGGAGGAGGAGCCTTCCTGGAGAAGGTCTTTTGGCAGAGATTGTGGAATGCCTCAGTTTCTGCTCTCTTTTCCCTATATTACAGCCTGCTGGTTTATTATATGCACACAGGCTACTAAAATTTAATAGTTTCAGGTAATCCTGTGCTTGGGCTCAGATAAATCAAACAGTTCAGTTCAATTCTTACAGCTCCAAAATAAAACAATATTTAAATAAATTTTAAGGTAATTCTTATAAACTTGTATGAGATTTTTTAAAACTACAGTATTTATATAGAACATTCAGAGATTACTCTCCATTTCTATGCTGTGATATTTTATAACTGGTATCTTTTATCTTAATATGGTTGGCATATGTTGCTCTTGATTCTTGTGATGAGCCACATGCTTTAATTTTAGGGTCCTAGTTGGCACTGACCTATTTTTTTTTAAAAACTTAAGGAACTTCGTGAAGCATCATGTACTGTATAAATAGTTCATTGTAGACTCTAACATGAGCTTACTGTATATTTATGTGCTAGTAGTAACTGTCTGAAGCTTGAAGAATTAGTAAGTATTCAGTTAAATTAGATCTCATTGATTATTGGTTTAGATGGATCCAGATTGGCAGTTTAAAAATGAAATAAACAAAGCATGATCTGAAGCCATAGCCTGGTTTGTATATAGTGCCAAGTCAAGTTTCAGCATATGCTCAAGAGCTGGAGGCCAGGTGCTGTCTTTGTGAGTTTAGTTTCACTTTCTTTACATTCTACTTTTTTGTTCCATTTAAACTAGAGATCATAATTCAAAATAAACTCTGGTTAAACAATTCATGATTTAAAGTTGGTTTAAAGGGAGTGCTGGAAATGTTACCATATATCAAGGGTGCATGCCATATCCAAGTATGCAGGCACTATATCAGCACTTTTACTTCTACCATCTTCCTTTAGCAAGAAATCAGCTGAGAATGAGGATGAGCCATGGCTGCGTAATAATAGACAGTGAAAATTGAGCCTTATGGGTATGTTAGGGTTCAGTCATGAACAAAAACATTCACAAAACATTTTCCATGTTTAGAAGATCAGCTTAGCTCTACTAGCTATTGCTGCAGCATGCAGTATTATCCCTGATGTCTCTCATTTCCTCTGTTACTGTAAAAAGTCTTATTTTTCTTTACCTTACTGTGTATTTGACAATACTTTTTAATAGTACTGTACAGTACCGAAT